AAACCTTTGTGAGTTTTTAAATTGATATAATTTATATTACATTATAAAATATTGCAACAGGGGTAGTTGAAGTTATTTACTTATCCAACATGGTTACCATTAATTACTATTTTACATCTTAGATGATTTTTACCCTGGAATGCCAAGGTTTTTTACATTATTTGCTAAAATTGTAGATTGTAGTTGTCTATTCTCTAAAGATGACATGCAACTATTTGGAGGTTATCGTCTGAGGTGCTAAGAATTATCTGGTCATCTGCAATCAGGGTTGAATTTAAAAGTAAAAACCCACTCAACCAGCACAAGACCTTGACGGTGGTGGAACTTGTGAGCCCCGTGAACCTTAGAGCTATACCGGCGGTAGCGTAGCTACTGGTAAGGCTTCCTTTGCAGGACAGGTCAAAGGGGAGGGATCAGATGAGGACCTCAACGTCGAGAGATGTCCACAAGCATAAGGGGACCCCCCAAGATATCTTCAGCGAAGATCTTTAGCGAGAATGGCGAGAGGCGCCTCGAGGGGTAGATTGAACCCGTAGCCGAAGTTAAGGCAACCATCTAGGGGAGAGCCCCGACAGCAAACAAGCAGACAAAATGCTTTAAGTCGGCAGCCCCGAAGCCAACCCACTTAGCTGTGGGCTGGTAACTCACACTAAGGAATCATAATCTACTCTCTCCACTAAGCCGTATGGTTACATATGACGACCAATGCATGCCAAGGACAAGAGAAAAGAAATTTCAAAATTGGTTAATGTAACCACATGGAACGTGAGAGGTCTTGGAATGAAAGCCATAGAACTAGATAAGCTTCTTAAATAAACGGAAAATATAAATAGCTGTAATAAGACTAAAAAGAAACAAAAGAATTAGATAACTATATAATACAGTGGTGAGGGTGTAAGAGCAAAAGCTGGGGTGGCCATATTGATTCATAAAAGACTGAAATCTAGAATAGAGTGAACGAACGAATACGACTGAACGAAAGAATAATGACGGTAAGAATGAAAATAGATCATTTGACGGTGATAGAGGTATATGCCCCTGAAGAGGGAAGGAAGGCAGAAACAGAAATATTATACAAGCTACAAAACAAATCAATAATGTGAACAAGAACGATAGTCTTATAATATGCTGCGATTTTAATGCCGGAGTAGGTATTATATCAATCACAGGAATTGTCGGAAATCAGGGCGAACAACACTTTAACGAAAATGGTAAATAGTTAACATTTGCTTCCATCAACAATTTAAAAATTAAAAATACTTTCTTTAGGAAAAGATACATAAATGGACGTGAAGCGCCCGAGGATTCGGATCAATAATTGATTATATATTAATAAATAATAAAATACGGGCACAGCTGAAGGATGTAAAAGCTTACCGAGGATGCCATCTATACACGGGCCATTACATAGTGATAGCAAAGTTCGCATTTTTAAAGAGAGGGAAAACCTCAACAAGGAAAGCACAATACCTTGACGAAACCAAATCCCTTAAGTTGTATCAATATTTAAGGACGGAGAACATAAAAACCCAGAGAACTACATAGAACACACATTAGCTTGCTTAACTCAACATACAAGTTATACGCCAGAATTAGAAACAAAAGACTCCTAAAAGTAGTAGACACGGTAGTGGATGTAGAACAAACTGGTTTTTGAAACGAAGGTCAACTACTGACAATTCATTTGTTCTACAGCAAACCATGGAGAAACGAAGAGAATTCTACAAACACATATGGCATTTATTAATTTTGTTAAAGACTTTGATAATGTTGATAGAAGAAAACTTCTGGAAAAATTATGGTTACTCCAGCCATCTCATAAAAACCTTTAAAAGCACGAATGATAATTAAAAAATAATTATCCAGACAGATTGCATAAAGACAGAAGAAATTTTAATTAACAAAGGTGTTCGCCACTTTTTAATGACACATTTCTGGGAAGGAAACAAAACATTAACACAGAAATAAAATTGATTAGGAAAAACATTTTAAACCTTCTACTTTAAGCAGATGATGCTATCATAATTAAAGTCATTGAAAATTATCTACAATATGAACTGCACCACTTAAATCAGCTATGCAGCCCTTACAATATAACCATCTCAAGAGACAAAACCAAAATAATAGCGTTTTGGGGAAAAGACATTATCCATTCAAAAATAATTCTAGACAATTTAAGCCTAGAACAAGTTGAAAATTTTAATTACCTAGGATGTGACAAGGACAAAAAGACATTGATAAACAATTGGCACTATTTCAATCCATCAGTGGGACTATACACACATCTCTTTAAAAAAACCTGAAAAGATACTAGAATCAAATTTTATAAAACATTAGCTCTCCCAATATTAAAGTCGTAGGCTTCCGCGGCCAATCATGTGCATAACCTTGGCTGTCCGAGTGACGCCGCGTCGAAGGCTGTGTTGCTGACGTTTCGACCATCTTGTCGTGGTCTTCCTCAGAATGCCAGCCCTCGACGCGGCTTCACCCGGAGAGCCAAGATCATGCACATTAGCAATTAAGAAATCAGGCAAGAATCGAACGTGAATAGCGTAAATAATATAATAGAAATAAACAGGAAGAAGTGGCTGCAGCACTTAAAAATAATGGAAGAGAGGAAGAAACAGACTTTCAAGATTCGCATATGGTTACAACCTGAGAGGGAAAAGAGATATGGGAAGACCCAAGAAAAGACGGAAAGATTCAGGGAAACTGAAAAGGCATAAGCCTATCCCTGGAGGGAGAGGGGGGGAGAGAGAGAGAGAAAAGAGGGAAAGAGAGAGAGAGAGAGAGAGAGAGAGAGAAAAAGAGGGAAAGAGAGAGAAAAAGAGGGAAAGAGAGAGAAAAAGAGGGAAAGAGAGAGAGAGAGAGAGAGAGAGAAAAACAGGGAGAGAGAGAGAGAGAGAGAGAGAGAGAGAGAGAGAGAGAGAGAAAGAGAACAACAAGAAGACGAAATATTTAAGTTCGTTGTTCGCTTTGAATTGGTATATTATAAATTTTTTCCCTTCTTTCATGCCATGGTCAAAAAATATTAACAAGATTTGAAGAGAGTGAACATCTGTTTGACACCTTAATTTACAACTTCAATCCAGGGTTAGGTTTTTTCCTTCTCCATACACATTTCAGAATTTTGAACATATGCTTCGGGTTGTGATATGGGTATATGTTTAATCGCAATACAGACCAAAATTTGTTTCTAGACTATCAAAAGCTTTATTCGAAGTCATACAAAAAATATACATAGTTAGTTTGCATTCACGTCTTTTTTCAATTAGTAGTTTGAGATAAAATGTACAATTTGAGCGTGAGCGTCCTCCTTAGAATCCGTTTTGTGTCTCTGACAAAAGCTTGTTGTTAATTTAAGTAGCCTTCTTGTGATGATTTCAGCATTCATCTTATATGCAGAATTTAGGAGACTAATTCCTCTTAATTGTTACAGTCACTCACATTTTATTACTCGAATATTGGATGGATTGTTGCTCGCTTCTGTTCGTCTGAAGTTTCATGGCTATTCTAACAGGCGTTTACTGAAGACAGGTACATTAATCACTTGAGGCAGGTATTTAAATAATTCTAGATTAAGTCTGTCTTGGAGGATGTGGAACACTTCCTCCTGTATTAATTTGGGTCGTCACAGGCAAACTCTCCTAACCATATTATTATTAATTTTATTAGTAGTTCTGTGTTGTTGTTTTTTTCCCCTCCCCATTTTCCATCGATTTCCTCTAATACATCATTTTTTTACATTTTCCAGTAATGCATTTGTGGTGATTCCATTGATTTTAATATAATTTTAATAGTACTTGCTTCAAATAATATTTGCAAGATGCAACATATGTTCTCTACAGAATTCATGAGTAGCCTATTCAATTTCTTCATTTAGAAATTGTAATGTTAGTCATGAGTATGTAATCTAAGGTTCCCGTGACGCCTATCAGTGCCACTTGCGGTTCAGCTGATTTTGTGGTAACTAAAAACAGAGATTTTCTGGTGAAGAATACTCCAAACACAAAGATTAAGAGCCATTCACTTGAATGAAGCTTTGATTCTTTCAGAAACGTATCTGACAGCTTGTGTTGTGCATTTGAAGTGGTTTTGATCACATTTTTTACTACATTTTTCTTTACTTTTAGAGAAGTATAGAACATTGAGCATTTTATTGATCATTTTTGGTTATGTTACAGGTCATTACAATTTAACCCCAAATGATAACCAATCTGACTAGTCATTCACGACTGTAATTGCACTAAGTGACTCAATATTATCATAATAATAATATCGTCATCATCGTTTCATCATCACCAGCTTCTGTATCTCACATTCATACTAAAAATAATCCTCTAGAAATTAAGATTAATTAGGTAAATACTGAAACCTTTGAAAACCCTGTAATTCTAACAAAATTTCAGCATCAGGAAACAGCCTTACTACAGTTTATCCCTCAAAGATGAAATATTTCTTTTGTGATGAGATTAAAAACGTAACCTCACTTGCATAATCCCTTCGTGCTTATTAACAGTTAAAAAATAATTAAATAATTCAGCAATTACGGCAAACAAATATTTCAGCTAAATACATTGAAAAAACAACAATCTGACACTTTTCCATTCATCAATTTATTTACAGAAGCAGGTGGATTTAATAGTAATCTTATTTCGAAAATAAACACTTTTTTGTTGGAAAATAGCCTAGAAACAGATTTTGAAATTACAATACAGTAAAGCTTGAGTAATGTGGAAGGTGTATAATACAGAAATCTGTTCAATGTGCAGGTAAACTTCGGACCAGGGAAAATATCAACTGTAAAACAGTCTGTAACAGAGAGAAACAAAAGAAAAAGTGGCCCCTTGAGTTTCTGCAAGTTTTACTGTATCGTATCTATAGGATGTTCAGCAGAATCATCTCTTCTATATTCTCCTCCCAAAAGACATGAACTAGTCGACAGCAAGTATCAGAGCAGGAAAAGGAGGATCAAAAATATGGTGGTTTGATGAACTTACGTGGAGTCTGTACGCGTCCGCCGCGTAATGAGTGGGCTGGGAATATCCAAGCGGCCAGGACTCCCCGTTTCAGGCGACAACAGGGGGCTACCGCGAGCCGGCGATACACGGCGCCCTACATCGTGCTCTCCTCCTCCCGACATTACAGAGGATAATCCACAAACTTACCAAATTCCTGACAGTGACGGATCTTTAGCGAATCTGCTTGTTTAAAGTTCCACGCTAAGCTGCCAAAGCGCGGTGCAAAGGAGTACGAAATAAGAATGTGTTCGTAATACAAGTACCAAGTTAAATTTTCTTGGCGTTCCGTAATTCGCAATAACACGTACTAAACAGATCCGTTCACGCAAAACCTAGTAGTGTCACAAAGGTAAACAATCTTGCGAAAATACTCGAGGTCTCGCTAAGATGTCAAAGAAAGATTGTATCAACAAATCACGACTCATAAATAACATATATACATGGCAGTCAGATAGCAGTGTAGAGACCAGTAGTAGACCCACTCTGCCGGTTGCCAGAGAGAAGTATGTTGCAGTCGCTGCAGTGGACAAGTATCACCTTCTATTGTCATTTATCAACAGTCTCCATGGTAACCAATACACACGATCGCATTGAAAACTGTTTCTTGTGCACAAAAATATCTACAAATTTTGAGACATTCTCCAAAAGTTTGCCTAATATCAATTATATTCATACTACCGGAAAGATATGCACATTTTGATGATAAATGTGCATAATAATAATGTATTTATAAGTTTATTTTTAATTTGTACAGTTGTCACCATGAAGAAAACAAAACAAAGGCAAAAGCAAGCGAACCAGAGAGTAGCGAATGGTAGCAATCTGAAACACTGTTGATGATGTATAGTAACGAAGCGCAGCGGGCATGAAGCGAACCGAAAGTGATTGAAAACCGAACTCCATAAACCACTGATGTGAATCGACACAAGTGAAATCTGGAGAACTGGCAAGAACAGGTTGAAAGCTGAGTGAGAATCGTTTTAATATATTCGTCAGTAGGAGAGATCTAAAGCCGAAACATTGTTTTCTGTTTTAGTTTACTTTCTTTTCAGGGATCAACTATGTTTTAGAAGTGGTGGTTATGAATTTATAAATTAATTTGTTGCAGGGTCTTTGACGTTTGTAAAGCTATTGAAATCCAATTATGTCATTAGAGACCATACCCAAAGATCTCAGAGGTTTACGAGCATGCCTTGTATGCTCTCTTATTAAGGTATTTCAGTGTTCTGTTTACATTTAATTTCCATTTATAACATTGGAGAAATTACTTCAGACGTTATTTAAATTGAATTTTTCTTTGTAGACATTTGACCAGTTTGAATTCGATGGTTGTGACAACTGTGATGAATTCTTACGAATGAAAAATAACCGAGACAATGTTTATGATTGCACAAGCGCTAACTTTGATGGGTAAGTAATTTTTAATTCACTCCCAAAAAGTCTTCCATATCCTTCAGTGGCAATTTATTTTATTTCTTCCTTTCAGAATGATTTCTGCAATGAGTCCTGAAGATAGCTGGGTGTGTAAATGGCAAAGGATAAGTAAGTTATTAATTTGAACATATTCTGTGTGTACCATGAATTTATCAATGTCAGATTTAATAAGTTGCATTGAGAGAAGAATCCATCAGGAGTTCTTATGTCTTGAAGGCTGTACGAAGGGTTGAGTATCTCAGTATCTCAAGTGGTTGGAGCCACAGAAAGAGTATCAGGGGCTCCCGATTCGATTCCTGGAAGGGGCACTCAGTTCTTTGAACAGACAAAACAACTCATAATAATAGTAATAAAAAGTATTCTTATTGTTTACTTTAGTAATGAATATTATGTAGTTTAAAAATTAAAGGGTAGGAATTCTTGTCATGGAGAAACATAAATCTGTCGTAGCAATTTTTAGTTTTGCCAACTGTGGTGAGGATTTCTTTAAAAGAAGACTCAAAACTTCTCAATCAACCTGGGTAATCTTGTAGTGTAGGTAGTGGCATTATGTTGAAAAAAATTATGAAGTCCAATTATATCTGTGTCAATCTTCATAACTTGTGCCAAAATTATTTTTGTTTTGTGTGTGTGGGGGGGGGACACCTGTAGTGTCCAAAACAAAGATTGGTTGGTTAATTTACCTTTTTATCCTGTTTAACTAGTTCTTATCCAAAATAATTGCAACAAGCATGATTTCAGTTATTCCATTCAAATTATTAATGTGTAATACGGTTTATATATAAATGTAATTTAAGTTATGACATGATGCTATTAAATAACAGGTTAAATGTTACAATGTCTTTTTTCAGATCGCTTCACCAAAGGAGTGTATGCTATATCTGTCTCGGGCCGTTTACCAACAAATGTTGTTCGTGAAATGAAGAGTAGAGGAATCACATACCGACCTCGTGACACCAGCCAACGATGAAGGTGGATTTGTGTGAACCAAAAACCATAAATGTATGTGTAAATAATAAAGGTGATTTTGCAGTTTTAAATTCCATTTGTTTTATCATCTATTTTTAGCCTTAAAGTACTGAAGAAAACTAATGAGGTGGATCATCTTGGTTTGGAAACAAATTTTATATTTTGAGCTAAAGAAATTGTTGCTGTAGGAACTCTCTCAAGCTGTCGCATTCTATAGCCTAAACTAGTTAAAAGAGTTACTATTCAAAATTAGAAATTAAATAGTGAATCTGCATACCTCCTCAACTTCCTTAAAATATAAACATTTTTATGTCATAAAATTTGACCTAATTTTGAACCTGTTGAACAAATTTCCAAAACTCGTGCCTGAATATGAAAGAAAATATGATAGCAGAACAAAAGTGTAACATAAAATTGAATTCTTAATCTTATTCTCAATACCAAACAACAAATTTCAACAATTGAATTTTTCCACACTCCTGGAAACTTGGATTAAAAAAATTTCATTTTAAAAACCCACTATTGGGAATTTATTTTCTGAAATATTATTGTATCCCTTATAATATGCAATACGCTAATGAAAATGTATTCAAAAATGCGTAATATGAATTTGCATGCCTGTTTGAAAAACAAGAGCAACTTAATTCCCTGTAATAGATATCTGATCAATATATATCACACTGATGAATTTTGTGTGTTAATAATGTTCTTTTGAAAAACCACTAATTATCCTAAACTCAATCAGTATTTACATCACAAATTTTGGCCAGATGGGCTTGCTTAACACTCAAGCGTCTTGAGATGATTATTTACATTGGTTGTAACTTCAAATTTGTATTACATATAACCAAATTAAATTAATTTAGCTTGGGAAGCTAATTTTGAACGTTTTCAAAATATCCAACCTTACAAATATGAAATAGAGCTCCAACAGCACATACTTTCTCCAATTAGTAATAGGTTTATCAAATTATAATATTGCCATTTCTGTCCTTTTAACACGTATCTGCCACTTATAAAATTCATTACCAATTAGAGCGCATGAAGTGTGAAAATTTAATTCTTTTGTAGGGAATAGAGCATTACAAATTCGATAACACACAACTCCAATCCATACGTCCAGAAACCGTTCGACAATGAGAGGTTATTCTGAGAATCTCAAACTGCTGTGTCGTGGTGTTTCCTTTGTTGTATTGCAATGTGATAACTAGAGCTTACACTTAAGACACTAAAAAAGGTCGGAAGTTGTCACTTCAAAAAAATAGGCAGGGAAATTGACATATTTGATAATACACAGAAAACTCTCTCAATATACCCCACCCCCAAAATATTTAGTATTCAATTTAGACTTATTACGTATATAAAGTATGGACATGATTCTCTAAAAACAAATCGGATTTCGTCGATTGCCAAAACATAATGCGGAGTTACATTATATTTCGTACATGTTGACTCGTACGGAATTATATATTTTTGTATATTTGTCAATTGGTTAAACGTTTGATTTTCAACTTTTGAAAATGAAATGTTTGCAGCATCAGCGCATGCCACAAGTCAGTCTTTTTGTGTTCATCTTGTTTGCACTTACTGCAGAAAGTGTTGAATAGTTTTTATGACTTTTCCCACATTTTTTGCATGAGTTGTAGTTTTTTTGTTGTTGTTGTAATATGTTATAAGAGGTAAGATTAATGTAAAGAATATACGCTGTAAGAGTGTTTGGTACAGTTTACCACTTATTCACAAGATGGACCACAAAGCATGAACGAGTTTGTAACGCGAAGAGTCAGTGCGATCAAAATGTGTATTATCCGCGCACTTTTCTTGAGCCCTCGTTTCGCTAGATACGAGAGGGGTGGGGGTTGTTTATTTAGACGACATGACAATTATATCAAAGCTGTAACTCGTTTATCAATGTAAAGTAATTTCTGTTGTACTGGAGCGAACATTTCTAATAATGAGATTTTGTAAACAACGCTCGTGGCTAATAATTATTCTCAATTCAAATAATGTACATAAAGGAGTGGTGGTATGTATTCAAGCGCTCAAGAAAACTTGCGGGTGTAATAACTAAGATTTCAATCCTACCGAAATCATTCGCATGTTCATACACATACACATGCCGAACGGTATCTTTCGAAATCTATAATGGAAGAATATGGCGGAAACTATCGACGCTCTAATTGAAAGAGTAACTCGATTCGATCAGACGGGCAAAAGCGTCAACAATGGAAGTGACGCCCATGTAAGAACAAACCATTTTTTATCTACGCAGGTTTTCTTGAGCCCTCTCTTCGCTCGTTCGTTTTCCGATGCATAATTCTATTTTATTCTGTAAGACATAGTTTCTATTAATAGGAGCGAACATTTCTGGTTATCAGATTTTGTCTACAACGCTCGTTTCCATAATTTATTCTTCATTCAACCGATGTTGGCAAAGAAGTGGGAGTAGGTATTCCGTGGCTCGAGAAAACATGCGCATACAATACGTACATCAGAGTTGCCGAATCAATTCCAAAGCGCGAAGTTTAAAAATGAAAATATGAGTGCATTGGAAGTACAGGTGGGTGATCAAGCGGCACGGCCTAAACAATAACAAAGAAGAGGTGAAAATTGTAGCGGCGGCAAGCATCGTCGTTTCAGGGGACAATTTATTACACGAACAAAATGGCGAAGGGCAACACCTGCTACATTAGAAACGTGACGTCAGCGGACAACGCCATGAACAGAAAGTGGCAATGTCGTGTAAAATCCAAGACGTGAACCTGCCACCGGCGCGGTGCTACTAGCAAACAGCTTAAGAGATGTGATCTATTATATGATTAGAGCTGAATTGAACAAATCAATATCAATTGTTTTATTAAGTACTTATTAACACCCAATAAATGAATTTTTCAAATACACCATAAATGAATATTGCGTATTAAGTCTAACATAATTCACAAAAAGGAAGGGAATGTAAATGTAGAAACAAAAAACTGTTTAATGAGAAAAGAAAAGTATTTCTAACTGGTAGGTTTGCAATTTTCTTATTTGTGTTCACTTTACCGGTAATCATTCACATTCTTTGTAAAGTTATTTAAAATGACACTAAGCAAACAAGTCACAACTCTAATTATTACATCATAGACAACTAGAAATACAATTCAGTGATTCATTGCAGTATAAACTGCATTCAAAGACTTTGGAATATAGTACTAGACCTACCCTCCTGCCTTTCGGAGCGCTGCAAATTGAACACAGCGCGGTCCGCCATGTTGATGGAAAGTGTGTGATGTATATAGTTGAAGCCCATGTGTGTTTACGAGCGTTTATTTTATAATTTAAAGTTTTTAGTGAAACATTATGGTGAGTTGCTGTGCAGCATTCGGTTGTAGGAATCGAAATTCGTAAGTTTGTAAGTTAAAATCAACCTTTACCACTTAGCAGAATGTCACAATAGTTTATTACATAAAAAATTAATAAGACAGCATTGCACAAGCTGTCAATAAGACAGCATTGCAAGTCAATCACCTTCGTAAACCAATAAATAAAATTATATTTCTAAAAAAAAGTAAGTTTTATTACAACCCTGTCAAATTTCCCTAAATCTTTTCAAAAGAAAATAAGTTGACTATAATTATTAAATATTATTGGTTAGAATGTTTGTAATCATTTATTTTCCATATTCAAGACTTCATTTCTTTAATTTTGTCCTGAAGTGTTATACTAATAGGTTAATTGAAACTTATTAATTTTCCTTCTAAATCTTGTGTATAATCAAGTTGATGTGCTTTTAGGAAAATTTGTAAAAACGAAGATTGTCTTCCTGTTCATCATACTTGGTTATGAAAGGTTGTTCATGTGCCAGTAAACGTTTATATAACACAAAACCCAAAATAATTTAAGTTTATTACAAGCAGTTTTGCAGTTAAGATTGGCCATAAAATGTTCTGTGTAAAAAAAAAAAGTATTCTCTGAACTTTGTGAAGGAATGTCATTGATCTGAAGAATAAAAATATACGTTTTATTAGGAATATTTTCTTATTGATGTCGTATTTGTATGCTCAGCTCATGTGCTTTTCCATCATCATGGCGGACGGCGAAACGTTCAATTTTTGTTGCGCGTTGGGCCTCCTTGACATTGGTGTGGGGCCTTGACTGCATTGTCAAGTCTATCAAGATAATTTTTTGTGAAGTAAACTGAATAAATTTCACTTCTAGTTCATGGGCACGTATATGTTGAAATGGTGCGTACATTTGAATCATGCATTTCACAAGAACACTTGGGTAAGATATCCACCTCAATGCAGGTGTGTCTCACTCTTCTGTCGCTACAGACGAAGAAGTGTTGGAATTTCGAGGAGGAGCCTTCAAGCACTGTGCTGAATTTCACATGAATGGCGAACGTCATTTTCAACAAAACTGGATTTTCTGTATACAATTAAAGGGTTTATTGAATAGAACCGCCGTTTTTACGCCGGCGTGTACAGTAGCTATCATTTTGAACAAAATTGGATTGTCTGTACGTACATTTGAAAAATTGATTGGGTAGAACACACTAACATTTGATACTATTAATGTCGCATAAGCCACGCCATGTTTTCCTCACTATTACTCGACATTGTCACCATTTACGCATAGCACAACGGTGTCGTAGTGTCCAGTTTGAATTTCGCGCCCGGAAGTGATTTTTAGAATCAATTTTCTCAAAGACACACACACACACACACACATCTTTTTTTTTTAAAAAAAAACTGGACTTGCTGGATCTTTATTAATGTCAACTCGGAATTGGGCGTATTATTTTGCACCGGGAGCTTCAGGACACTCTGTGTACGACTAGTGGTACTACAAGAGCATGCACTTTCGATGCGCGATGCGTATTTTAGCCGTAAATAAAATTATTAGTTTATATTAACGCATACAAACAGTGGCCGTCATTATCGCATCTGTTACCAGTGCGGCATTACAACGTGTTGCAAAAGCAACAATGGCCGTTCATTCGTATGGGATTCACATTTTGCAAATTATCATTCTTGATACCATTAGCAAGAAAATGAAACTGGATAGAAAAATATAATAATTAAATATAATATTGTACTACTCGGTTTTTATACAGATTTTGCATTTCCACATCTTATTATGCAAAGCGAAATCATCTGTTTGTTTTCGTTTATAATTCAATTAAAGGACACAATTTAAAATATATTTAATGATTAAATAGGTCTAATATTAAACTTACCCTTTCTTTTGAAGATTCGAATAAACATCCTCATAATGGTTCCATGCCAAAGTTCAATAACCCGAAGAATCCAAGACATTTCAGTACCTTATCTTGTTGCCATTCAACAACGAACTTCTCAAATTTCCAATGCTGCATTATTTCCCAAGGAGAGGATGGTACTATGAAATTAAAGTTAAAATAAAACGTTCGTACAAATTTATAGTACTTTTTTTAAAATTATACTTTCTAGCCCTACTTATGTAAGAAGATAAAGTATTGTAATCGTGCACCGGAAAACGGCGAATGTTCGACACCAAAACCTTTATTGCGGGGCCCTGGCACCGAAAAAGTGGATAAATCCAGTTGCTAAATATAGAAAAAATCCTAACACGTGGTGAAGCTAGAATCCTTGTTTTGTATGTCCTTGATACAAAAAAACTGATTGATGGCAAAATGTCTGTCTTTCCGTCTGTGCACAACGCTAGCGTTCGGCCTATTTCTGCAAAATTGATATTCCCCAATCGTTCCAGCTGATGTCACGGCATATGGGATTTGAAAGATGTATTTTAATTTTGGGGGGTACTTTATGTTATGTCCAGTCAATACTCCCGAAATAAAGTGTGGCGAGCATTGTTGTTTGGTGTTTATTTTCATCGTGGAGTAGATGACTACTGAGGAACGCATCCTGGTGGTGAAAAGTTTCACAAGAACAGTGAAAGCCCCACCGCAACTGTTCGTGAATTGCGCGTGATACTCGAACGTAATGCTGCTCCAACAGAATCGTCAGTTCGGATGTTCATCCGGAAGTTTGTGACCACGGGCTTTGTGTCAAACATTAGGAACTGTTTCTGTTCGAAATGAAAACATTGTTGCCTTGCGTAACAATGTAACCGTAAGCCCCAGAAAATCGGTTCGCTGACGAGCTCAACAATTGAATTTATCACCTGAATATCATCCTTTCAAAAGATCTGAAAATGTATGCGTACAAGATTTAACTTACACAAGAGTTGAAGCCTGCAGATCATGAAAATAGATTTCGATTTGTTCAATGGGTTTTGGATCGACAAGCGGAGAATGAAAACTTCACAAAAAGAATAATTTTATCAGGCGAGGCGCACTTCCACCTCTGTGGATACGTCAATTAGCACAACTGCAGAATTTGGGCTAATGAAAATCTCTGAGTGACTATGGAAGAAATTCTCTCAAGATGAGATGCATCCACAACGTACGACTGTGTGGTGTGGGTCTGGGCAGGAGGCGTGATCGGCCCGGCCTTTTTTTATGATGAGGGAGCTGCCTATGAAAATAATTTCCAAGTTTTGGATGATTTTGATTACACGTCACACATCCCGTGAAACGATTGCTCTGCTGAATGAAACGTTTCCTCTAAAAATTATCTCTTTGCGTGGCAACCAGGAATGACCTGCCAGATCATGCGATCTTACGCCTTGTGACTTTTTTTTGCGAGGATTCGTGAAATAAAGTGTACGTGAACAAACCACGAACAATAATCGAATTCAAGAATGAAATTACAAGGGTTATTAACGGCATCACACCAGATGTTTGTGAACTCGTCATCGCCTTGGTCACCTTGGGTGGTCATATGGGGGATATAATTTTTCATACATAAACGGGAAACTTTACTTAATGTGTTTGTAAAGACAAAATTACATTTGCAATATATTTTATATGTTCTAGAGCACTTTAATATTCGTCCTTATATCCTGGGCACGTTTGCAATCATAACACGGTTACAAAAATTTATTTATTCAAGCTGTACAACTTTTCTAAGTTAGCATTTTACTATCAATTTTGATGACCTCCTTCGTGCATTGTTTCCTTCCCGTCGTCGCCACCAGGGCTCGTGGCGCGCAGTGGCACGCTACCTCAGCATGCCCCGTCACCGCGTTCCTCCAACACGAGACCCGGTCCTTCGAACCAGGACGGAGTAGAGGCGAACGTCCGCCCGCCCATGCCCTGAGTCACCTCTCAAAAATGCACCCGTACCCTGCCATGCACGGTCGAACTCGGGCCCAACTGCCAGTGGCGCTTCATACGCGGCGCCCCCTCCGAGGTCCAATGGTGTCGCTCCTGGGAGTCGGGCGGGCTCTCTAACTCCGATTGTCAGGTTGACCTCCGAGAACCTGACGCCGACTATAGTGAACTCGAACTCTCGTAGCGGACTGTCAGCTGATACCTGTGGGCCCCTCTCTATAGTGGAAGCCGTCGTCGGCGCAGACTCGCGATCCAACTGAGCGCTGGTGGCGCGTCTCCGTCCCCCACCGCTGCCGCTATCGGCCCTCCTAAAGCGAGTTGCCTGGCCGTGTGCGCGCCAATTCAAAGTGGTACCCATAGACAACATGAAGCCACTCAGACATTTTCATAAAAATGGAATCAACGTTTTTGATTAAACTTTGTTCTCGGATAGGATAATTGATGCTTAAGAAAATGGCCTAGGTCACCTTTTCTTTGAAATCCCTAATTTTTCGGAAATTAAAACATTCAAAATATGTTCGCTGTCTTTCTACAATTATAATGTTGAAGGTATAGATAATTTCCTAAATGAAATATGTTTCTTAAAGACATCTTGAAAGAAAAACATATTCGCCTTTTCGAAAATATGAGAATTTTCGTGGAATTTTTCCCGAAACCTGAATATTTTTTAAACCTCAAAAACAACTCCAAATTGTTCTTTAAATTTTCTTCACATACATAAAAAGAGGCTGTAAGTATATGTTGTAAGTCCCATTTACAGGTAATGCTTGGTATTTAGCATTAAAACGAAGTTAAATAAAAGTCTACATTGAATCATTACTTACGTAATTTAATGTGCCGTGATCGAGTCAGGTATATTACACATCTCCCGCGCAAGTGTTCTGCCTTTGATTTCCACTGGACACCAAGTTCGACTCCAGCACATCGCAACAAGTCCTATTGCTTGACACGTTTCACACAAATTTATTTTATTTCGAAAATATCACTATCCTAGTATATTTTGTAACAAAGATCCTTCCACACACTCATACAGCACCAGCACTCTGGTGTAACTACAGCCTGCTGCTTATACCGAGAAAGGGACTTCCTTCCAGATCGACCAACAATTCACAAAGAATTGATCAAGTGTACATTTTAAATCACTAAATCTAAAATCAAATAAAAACAAACTCAACATTGTAAATGATACACTAAATGCCGTCAGACTTAACTTTTGTACTTTCAATAACAAGTGTAAATCATAAAATTACGAGTCATATGAATATTGAATTTTGATATTCCCCTGACACACCTTCCGTCGCCGCGCCGCGGTAAGCAGCACCACACGTCTAGTTGCCCAAACAAAAGACCCTATGTTGCCCGTGTTAAATCGAAGGGCCAAAGAGTAAACGCAGAAATATTAGTATTAATTATGGAAATTCGCAATCGTGCAATTAGTTTTTGACAATAAGATTAAATCTAAACTTGGTTGTAGATTTGATCCGTTTGGTGCAATTTATTATGTGATAACGCTTACGCTTTCACACACACACGCACACACATATATATTAAAAAATGTACCTTAAAAATTGTCGTAAGAAGACGCGGAAAACTTTTAATGATATTAAATTTTCGAAAAATCAGGCATTTCAACATACATGAAACCTCCGCCATATTTTAAGCATCCTTTACGCTATCTAAAGCCAAATTTAATCCCGAAATGTGCCAGATTAAAAAAAAATCCTTTAAAGAAAATAAAAATCGCCTATATTTGACAAATAATTTAGTAAAGTATAGGTACTGATATTTTTGACAAATTGAACATCACATTATTGGAAGAATGTTTTTGCAGAACACATTTCATTACGTAAAAAAAATGTGTATTTTCGTAACTGTAGTTGTAGGAAGTCAAAATGAATTTTTGCAATTTTCAAAAATTAGAAGTTTCAATGTTCATGATACCTTTCTCTTAAGTGTCCTATACACACTATTTTCGAAAATTGTACATGACCTTATTTCAAAATCTATCATTAAGTAACAGACTTTATTAAGGGCAAAATTAATATTTTAGCTGAAGGAAGACGCCGAAAAAATTTTGAACTTTTGCAATTTTCGAAAAACCAGGATTTTTAACAATTATGAGACATTCTCTTAAGCGTCCTTCACACTATCCAAAAACAAAATTCAATCAATTTCAATTATATCATTAGGAGCCATTTTTTTTAAAATTAAAAATGGGGGGACTTAATGTAAAAAATCCCCAAGATTAAAATTTCGGTTTCAAATCCAAAGGCCCGCGACATCAGCTAGACCGTTAGGAAAATATCAATTTTGGAGAAAATTGGTACAACAGTTTAACCGCTAGCGATTCTCGGACAGACAGACGTTTTGCTAACAATCGATTTGTCGCTATCAAGGATCCACAGAACATGGATTTTGGCTACACCATGTGTTGGATGAGATCTTTTTGCTACATTTAGCTACGGGATTTATCCACTTTTTCGTTACCAAGTCCCGGCAATAAATTCGCCACTTTCTCCGGAAGAATTACATATTGTCTCTCTGCTGCATAAGCGATAGCGAAAAAATAAAATTACCAAAAGCAAGAATTTTTCAAAGACGGCTTGAAAAAAATGTATATTAACTTTAGGTACAAATGTATTGTATAAGATGTCATAAAAGCAATTTGGCTCTATTCCTTTGTTTCTTCAAAAAATAAAAATTGTTGACATCTCGCGGGTCGTTAATATTTACATTAGTCGATTTCTTTACATTACAGCCTTTATGAGTATATGTGTTATAAAGGATGTGATGGAGTTTCTCAAAACTTTGTGAAAATTCCACATTTTAAAAGACACTGAAATACTTTCTTCTCGAAATTTTACTTCAAAGTTTTTGAATGTATAGTGTTAATGTACCAAATTACATGACATAAATGCCACATTGATGTACTTAGTTTTAAAAATTACACAAATATATATATTTTTGAAATCATCTCTCACCCGGTTTGTGTCTAACTCTGCGTGCTTGCTTTCCGCTAAGCGGCCCCGTGTTAGTTTCTCAGTCGAGTCAAGACAGTGCGTTTTCCTTGCAATTTCCCATTATATGTTGTGTGACGATGAGAAAATTCACTTCTCAGGTTGAGAAGAGCGAAATAAGGCGTGGGGATGTCTGCGTGCTAACCATGGCGGCGAGGCAGCGATGTCGCACCAAGTTCGTACATACATATTAGGACTAGCAGGTGTAAAGTTAGTGTAAAACTTTCCAACAGTGAAGTAAATGAGACCAAAAAAAAAAAAAAAGGAACAAACACAAACAGCACCGCAAGTGACATTTATTAACAACCATACTCAATTTCATAATGTTTCGCATATTAAACAGTGCTTTTCCTTAAAGTAAAGAAGTATTATGGAAAAGTTTGTAATGAAATTCATGTAATTAAACATGCTAAGCGATTTTGGAACATTTTACATGATAGAAGTAAACAAATTGAAAATTTGGATTGAGCACATTAACATTATATAAAATTAGATTTTTTACTTTTACTTTATTACAAACAAAAAGTAAAAATTCATAGGCCAGTGATATATGCGAAGAGTAGTTATACTTTCCCAATCCTGTATTTTTGCATGGACAACTTTAAATAATTTTCAAGAGTAAAATGCTTTGTGATATTAGCAAAACTCTCAAGGAAGATTGTGTTATTACTTCAAATGCCATTTTTAAGGAAATTTGAATTGTTACAAGAACATGTCTATAATATTAAATACACTTTCATCCAAAATTTGTTTCTACCGTCAATTTCAGGGTTCTTTTTATTTTAAATTCTATGAGAACATTGGAAATTACCTTTTTATTAGACAAAACCCTTATCCTTAACAACTTCCTTTATTAACATACAATGTAGGCTTTCACGGCCGGTTTCCATATCAAAATCAGTTGTTTACGGCCTTCAAGCCCGGAAACAACTGATTTTGAACTTCCTTTATTACTACAAAAAAGGAATGGAATTTAACATGTGAACATTCTCGCAGAAGTATGATAATATAATCATATTATGAAGGTTTTATTTGGAAGGTTAGTAATACAGTACTTGGGGTGGATTGAATATGGAATGTGATTAATAAAAGACACTTCAGTGCTAGTATGGTATTACCAATGGTTTAGCTCTCCCATAAAAATTGCATGAGAAGTTACCAATTTTGAAAATCTACATAAAATCAAAAGTGTTTATGATAAGTTTTACCAAATAAAAGTCGAAAAGATTGAAAGTGACCATACATTTTTTTTATTTTGTGAGCTGACCGCTTCTCACTTCACCAATTCACAAAGAAAAGACCAAACTGATTTCGTAATATAAGATTTATTGTGATTTTTTAAACCAAAGAAATTACATAGCTTCATTTATCATCTGGTTTGCTGAAAACCAGGGTGTATCCACACTTGCCACAATAATGCCTGTTCTCCATGGCAGCCATGAAAACACCTGCACCACATTGTTCAGAAGTGCACTCACGGCGCAACCGGTGGATTTTACCATTTTCATCAACCTGGAACAGTCGAGCATGAACCAATTAGAATTTTAAACGTCTCAACCTGCTGCAGAAATACGTCTACACTATCACTATGTTCTAATATCGCTGAAAAACAAATATTAAAAATTAGTGGATAACTTGGTATCAAACACTCAAGTAAAAGTTGCACTACTTCGCATTATTGGCATGATAACGTTGTCAGGGTCAAACAACACCACATGAACGACATTTCCTGGGCCAATTCTCATTTTGATAAAACATTTTTTCTTTATGTAGTGGTGTTTTTTATCACCACTGTCCCACTCGCACATAAAACACCAGTACTTTACATACCCAGTCTGACAATTCCATGGGAATGGTGATTTTTAAATCACCACTGATACAGTATTTATACTAATTGTAAACAAAATAGATGTTTTTGAATTTAGGTGGGTTGGGCGAATACCGAACGTTCTGCGCTAGGCGAATCGCAAGCAACCTGTCTACACTATTCAGGAATTGCTGAAGTGTGAAGAGTCGCCTTTACTTTAAAGAATTTCTTTGTTTCAAAAGACTTGCTTTTCTGTATGTCATTTTGTTTTGTCTTTCCCGGGTTGTCTTCACTTCTTTGAAATGTAGTTACTAGGAGAGAAACTACACACTTTAAATTATTGTGTTTTCCAAATTGTCAGCTATTATTGCAAACCTGAATGTGCTGAAATGTGAACAAAACACAAGAAACTGTTGGACCCAAACTATTACTGCTTAGTCAGGTTTTACTGTATTACAATGCAATATACCAGACCTCCAAAGAACATGGCAGCACACACAATGTTCTGTCAGCGATCACATGAGGGCAGTGTGACCAAGGATTCCATTGCTCTCTCCTGCTTCAAAACTTGAAATTTAGCATAAAATTCACCACAGTTAGCAGTTTAAGTGAGATATTTCTTGTAACTGCTTTCTCTGAAGAAGAAACTTGCAGACTATACAGGAAATAGGCTTTCTGCATCAACCACAAATTACTTTGTTTCATCCATTGTTTTTCAGTCCATTTTATGATCCTTTTCGTTTATCAATATATTGAGGACATACCTTCTTTTCTTCTCCAACACGATTTGGACAGATAATATATAATTTCATGGAGAAAGGAAAGGTAGGAACAAAAAGCTTTTGATACATTTCAAACAATTTTCTGTTGTTCCAATAAGATAATTGACACCCAAATAATGTGTCACATCTGCTTTGGTCCAACAACCACAAAAGAAAATTTTGAAGCCATATTACAATATCTGGCCAATGTGCACTCACCAATGCCATGATTACCATTTTCATAAGTATCACTTTGATAAAAACAGCATTATCTCCTAGCTTGTATCTACTATCCTGAACCTTTACTCAGGAAGTAAAATTAAATTCTCAGACTTATCGACGAGCCAACATTTCCCCAAGACTGTTTCTAGTGTGGTACTATCTCAACCCAAAAAGTATAGGTCATGACAAAGTTCTAGTACGAAGTTATCACTACTTATTAAGAAAAGCCTCTACATTGAACGTTAGCCATGAAGAACATTATCTGAACATAGAGAAACCTGTACCAACTCTTGAAAATCACACTCACCTTATAGTACTTGAGCACTGCCAACTTCACCTTCTTCTTCTTGTGTTTGATCTTCTTTGGGGTGGAATAGTTCTTCTTCTTGCGTTTCTTTGCACCACCACGAAGCCGCAACACAAGATGAAGGGTTGATTCCTTTTGGATGTTGTAATCTGACAGTGTCCGTCCATCTTCCAATTGCTTTCCCGCAAAGATGAGACGTTGCTGATCAGGAGGGATTCCTAATGCATTTAAAAGTAATTTTTTATTACTGCAATGAAATTAACTACACCAACAGACGAAATTAAGTGCAACCCATTGCTTACAACAAAGTTGTAGATGCACAGCAACTAATGCATCATCAAACACTCTATTAATGGAAAATAGACTTGTTTAGCACCTGATGTGCAACAAATCTTATTTAACCAATGAAAAACAATTGAAAGCCCTTCAAAAAATTAGTTTACTTTACTCTTTAACCAACATCAATGATCCTATACAGGGGGACCCTGTATATACGGATAGGGAATACCATTCCAAAGAACGGCTATTACAACAAACAATAAGGCATATGATGCAAGAGTTTGCAAATAACAACCATATAAAAATGAAATATTTAAAAATGTTTAATTGCCACAAAGCCCAGTATAGAATTCATTTTATTAACACACAATATAACTCCATGGAGAACTATGAGTAAGAATGCTTCGCTAATAGGAGACACTGGTTTGACCTTTTTAACAAGAATGTTAACATCAAATTTCTCCAATGTGATTTTAATTTAAGTGAATCAGGGTTGCATCACAACACAGATGACCTGACCAACTGAAGTTCATGGCACTTGCAGTGACGACAATTGCTTTTGAAGATGAAATGAAAAGACGTCTGGACACTGCACCCCATACCAAAGCAATAATGAAGATAATTTAAGTGCATAAAATGTTAGCCATGACTAATTTGAAGTAGAGTCAACAAATATGTTTTTGAAAAACTGACAGGAAATCTTTTACAATTTATTTAGATCATAAAATATCCTATTCTGATCTCTTCAGATTCAGTTACAAATTTGAAGACTGTTTGAAAACCGTCAAAATACCACACTAATAATTTTGATCTGTAGTGCACACATACCTTCCTTATCTTGGATCTTTGCTTTCACATTTTCAATGGTATCTGATGCTTCCACCTCAAGGGTAATTGTCTTACCCGTGAGGGTTTTCACAAATATCTGCATTCTTCCTGCAACAAAAAAACTTAATTTTAACTATGTAATTGTTTTTCTCAGAGTAAATCACACATCTTCAGGCACAAAAGCCTTAAGAAATAGTAGAAGCAGTTGCAATTATGAATTTCCATTGATAAATTACACAATTACTATTGTAAACCAGGGAGTACTTACTAATGTTTTTTACTACACACTAACCTTTACAACAATACGTTTACCAATGTTCTTACTACACACACAATTATTAATACACACTTCTTGGCTTGAAGTTAACTTGAACAAAATGTATTCCGAAATTTTCTAACGGTTCAAGTTAAATGATAACTGGCTGCATTTTCCATTTTTTAGTCCTTTTCCTAAACATTCTATAGTTCTTAACACAAATTTGATTTGCCCACCATTTACACTTCAATCTTTAATGCTGCATTCAAACAGCCCTATCATCTTCCTCAATTATCATGTAAACACTATACTAAATACTAAGGCCACCACATAATGTTATGAACTTGGGCTGTGACATTATCATTTCTTACACCAGAGGTATACACTAAAAAACAAAAACACTTATATTATTGCTTTTGAAGTTGACATAACTTCCCAACTCTGGACACCTACAAACAGTTCACACTTACACCTTCTTTCTGCTTTAAAGCTAAATATTTCACCCAACAAGATGCCAAATTCTCTTACAAGCAGACCACTTGCAACGGCAAACATTCACCAACATCAAACAAATATGTATGACTTGCTAATAGTTTCTTATTTGCACATTTAACATTAGTATGCAGTGTCACACAAGGCTCTTATTGAGGACTCTCAGTCGTATGTGTCTGACCTAGCCTATGAGAAATTAGTGTTGGATACATATGACTGATGCAGAGGTTAATGTAATGTTTATTCAGACCTTGTTGCAGACATGAAGTCTAGTCCAACAATTATTGAGCATAATTTGACAAAGAACATCCAAAAATCTAAAAATTTTAGCTCAGATTTGTCAAAATACAGCACACTCAGTGCACAGGGTGAAAGCCCAGTACTGTTTGAGATACTGTACAGTGAAGGTCACCGGGGTAACTGTAAGCAAAACTTACGACTAAAATAATTTTTGAAATTACACTGCCAATGCGAGAAAAGCCTTTGAAGAAGTTATCAGGTTATCAATGCCGGATGCTCTGACTTTTGCACTAAACCAATTAGAAGAAAGTAAGGCCATTCATGTAACAATTGCTTCACAACACAATACATAAGAAATTTGTCCTTAACCTCAAAATTTTAAAACATCTTCAATAATTACAAAATAAAATATTAAAATTATTTACCACTTGAAACTTTTTTTAACACCAATGGAAAATTACTTTAAAAATATTTGCCTATGTTGAAAGCATGATAAACTTAATGTTGCTAAAAGAATAAAAGTTGATGAAAATCGGTGGACACTACTTCCACTAAAATCACACCTCTGTTAAAATTCCAATTACATAATTACAATTATTATGAAACACTATTTTTGAAAGTAAAAGAAAAGGAAAATTGATTTTAAATTATCAAAAAGAAACAAAGTCATAACAGCTCTTGACCAACCACTGCATTTACAAAACCTTGAGGTTGAAGAATTACCTTCACTCTTTTTAATGGATAATGAAATTAAAATTGTTACTTCAAATTTTGCAAATCTGAACAACCAATACTATTTAATTAACATTCTTTGGTCCCTTTTGGCAAACACATAAATAACCAATTGAAAAGCATCATAGTAATTTAGGAATAAAGGAATCAGGAAAATTAATCCAATATAAACATATTTTCATAGACAGTTCTTTATTGACATAGTATACAAACATTTTCAAAGGTAGTTTCCAAATGAATTTCACTCAAATTATACAAGCAAAACTGCATTGATACATCCATCATTTTCAGGGTTGTTGGTTACTTGGGCATATTTACCCCAAACCACCTTTCCTCCTTGAGTAACCAAACCAAGCTCACTAATATTCACTTCAATCACAGTGCCTTTTGTTATAACTCCTAATGTTGTGTACATATGGGAATTTGGGTTTCTTTTAACTCCAATAATAGGTAAACAGAAAGTTGCTTTAAGTTCAGGATGAGTAACATGTGCTTTCTTGAATCTAAGTGCCATTGGTCTGATAAATCTTTCAAACTTTGGTGGCTTCCGAGTGAAATCTTCCCCAACAAAAGTAACCTTTGTGACCATTCTTTTCCAAGCTTTGCGACGAGACTTTCCAGTACGTATTACTCTGAAGACTTCTGCATCTGCTTGAGCCTTCACTTTGGGAATTGGAACATCCCATTTGCCTGCTTTCTCTTTTCTCTTTTGCTTGATCATGTTTGACAGAATTTTTGCTCGTGACTGAACATCCCGATCCAACAAATATACTGGAACAGCTCCTTTTGATACTTCCTTCTCTTTCTTCTTGGTCAATCTTTGTTCATGCATGTGGATCTTCTTCTTGATCTGTATCTTCTCATTCTTACGTTGCTTACTAAAGATTTTAGCTTTCAATCCACGTAATTTACGTGCCATCTTGGCACGTTTCTTTGGCTCCCTGGCCTCCTTCTTGCGTTTGCGTTCATGATAATCCAGCCTATAACCATGCAGCTTGCGGCTGCGCTCAATGTGTTCGTTCTGCGGCATGTTGACCTGAAATCAAAACAATTTAAATACAATATTTGTCCTAGAGTTCAGATTTGGGCAACTAGACAGAAGTCTAACTGTCTTTTAAGTGAAGATATTTCATTTCTAAATTAAAGAGTGATAACATAAGCCTACGACATCTAGTTTGATAATATATTCTCGTCAATGTTGACTTACCTGAAATGTAGTTCACTCTTCTCAAATTCTTGTTTCTCCACAGCACCAGATTCCAATACTGCTACAAATCTCAAATGGAATACACCAATTGCATTGACAAAAAAAAAAAAAACCGCCAATGTGTCGCAAAACTTTACTACCGATATTGAGAAAAACGGGATACTTCCATCTCCTTTAGTAATTACGCAACCGTGAACTTTACTGCCCAAATCTGAACTTGTGTTTTATTGTTGGAAGATCAACATTTAACGAGAATTCGGAGCTATTACATGGGCAAGATCCGCGTGCACATGGAAGCACATTGCACCATGCTGGTACATACTACTTTTTACTTTCCTTACGCATATAGTTAATAATAATTGACGAAATTAAATAATGATTGCATGAGACATTTACACAAACACAATCTCTATTTTACACAAGTCTTACCTGATTATATTACACCATTCGCCAACGAAGTTAACACCACATGCAATGGCCGACAACCAGTGGCACCGGAAGGAACAGTCTGCAGGAACTAGAACTGTGCATAGACTGTGCCAGAAAATCTCGAATCCAATATATGCCCGAGTAATCAAATCATAGTTGAACTGTTTAATTTACCGTAAATATATTAATATAATCGCTCAGGGAAACAATAAAAAATATAATTTGATTTTTTGAAATAACGGAAATAATGTATTATATGTTATTTGAAGTTAAAAATGAAGTATTATGGAAAACGTAGTCTCTCGTCATTCGGGGACATTCGTGATTTTTCGGGTGGGTTCATTTCAAGTCGAACAGTTCCGAACAGGTTCTGAACTTCTGAGGAACTTTGAAAGGTAGTTTATGAACTGTGGGCATGTTCAACTAGGCCTGTCATTGATGTTTAGTCTCTCAAACTTGAAAATGTGGACCTGTGTGTGTTTTTTTGAAATACCATTGTAAAGGGAAAGAATAGTACCTGAAGTTTCAGAATTTGATTGAGTGTGAATAAAGTTTGTGATTTCTGTTTATTGTTGAAGTTTGTAAACTGTGAGTATGACCATAAATATTTTGGTTTTCCACAAAGTATTATAATAAAGGAACTTTTCATTCTGACAATTGCATAATTGTAAATGAAGAAAACTAGAACAAATTGTCAGTTTGAAACAAGCATAACCTGACAATTATGACAAAAGCTCATGTAAAAAATATTTAGCCCCTAGCCCCTTTAGAAAAATAAGTATTTGATTGTGTAACATGGTGTTCAAGGACTCTTTATTTATAATTGTTATTCACAGAAACATGCCTTGCTGGTATTATGAAAAAAAAGATTTGAGAAATACTCCTTCAATCCAAGATGGAATTGATTATGAAACTGAGCAAAGGTATAGGAAAGAAGGTGCCAGATTCATTATAAACACTGGGTCAAAAATGGATCTTGGTTATAGTACTATGGCTACTGGTGTGGTTTATTTCCATCGATTTTATATGTTTCATTCATTTCGACAGTTTCCACGTTATGTAAGTTGTTTTGCCTATTTGATCCTAATTATGCAACTTTGAAATTAATTTTGATTTATATAGGTGTTAAGCAATAAAAATCTCTAAAATGTTACAAGTGTGATGCTGTTTATTTGATCGTGTACTGCTAGATCCATGATGTCTTTGCCTCCATTATGTTTTGATAAACTTTTTTGCTTATATGGAAACAATTTTTCAGGTAACAGCATGTTGTTGTTTGTTTTTGGCTGGAAAGGTGGAAGAAACTCCAAAAAAATGTAAAGATATTATAAAAATTGCAAGAAGTTTGTTATCTGATCAAAAGTTTCAAACATTTGGGGCTGATCCAAAAGTAAGGATCATTTAAATGAACTTATTAACATTGTTTCCAAAGTGGAGTAATTTATTTCTGTTTCAGGAAGAAGTTATGACTCTGGAAAGAATATTATTGCAAACTATAAAATTTGATTTGCAAGTAGAACACCCTTATAATTATCTTGTCAAGTATGCTAAATGTTTAAAAGGTATGAAAAGTTGGCTTTGACTCTTATGTATATTTAAAGAGAAATGTCATTCATATTAATTCATACTATACCTCATTTAAGATTGTGACATTCAAGCTTTTTATATAGCAGAATGAGACTAAAGAAATGAGGTGGAAAATATTTTGCAACTTTCAAATTAATTTTTAAAAACTTTAATGAGAATGTAGAGGTTAAATTACTTCTAGATACATTAAAATGATTATAGAGCTACCTCTATCTTATTTGTGCTTTATTTTTGTCTGTAGGAGATAAGAATAAGCTGCAGAAGATGCTGCAAATGGCGTGGACCTTTGTCAACGACAGGTGATTAAAATCTAAAAAAGTGTTCCAGGCCTCTGATTTTTTCCAGTATACATATACCATTTCACTGGCCGAAAGTTTACATTTCGTTGACATGAAAAATTGTGTTCACCACAGACGAGCTGATTGTTCATAATGTGAACAGATGAACATTGTGATACAAGTCAGTCACCTTTTATGTGGTACATTTAAACATTAGTTTTACTCAAAACTCACATATTTTATTATTACAATTTAATAGTACTATTACTAAATTACTAATTTATTAGTGTTCTGTTGGTGTCTGGTGCCCTCAAATCCCTGTTAAACCACAATACAACTAATTTTACATTACTTTTATGTAATACTTCTAAAAAATTCATTTAAAAATTCTCATTTCTGCTTTAATGGTGAATTCAGCAATATTTTATTTTACATAAATCCTTTCCTTGATTCTTAGAAATGGTTCACTAAAACTGTTTGGGAAATAAATAGCAATGGTAATGAAGTATATATTTCTCGTATTAACAGTTGCTCATTGGACGAGAGAGCTACACACAATGCAAACAAATCCATTAAACTACCTAATAAACAATTTTTAAAACAAATATGAAAGTAAAAAATCATTTACAACCTCACTAATTACTGTTTGGATAATGTTAGAGCCAAAAATGCATCAATTTCGTTTAATATTTCATGAAATAGATAATTTCCTTTGTTTTTTCCTGTGCCACATAAATAAGAATCCTGCATCCACAAATTTGACATTTACATTATAGTCTGGTGTCATGAAGTGTTCACCAAAGATTAAGCGATTAGGGCATATTGCGAATTGTGCACATGTCCTGTGAGAAGTTACCGTTACACCTTCATGAAAACTTGCAGAGGTTTATTCACACACATTACTACACAAAGTCCGAGAAAATTCATTCTGTCACTCCTAATAACAAATTACAACTATTCAATTGTTTCATAAACAAACAAACGAACCAACTTATGGGAGAGGATATTACCTAGTAAACTGGTGCATTTCCCCCACCAAAAAACAAAATTCATTTCTTATAATCCAGAGAATCATATCGTTCGGCTTTATATAAATATATATATATAAATATTTGCGCGTGGCGATGGTGTAACGGTTAGCCTTTCGGACTGTTGTACCCAAGTTGGCAGGTTCATACCCGATCAAAGCCGTGGATTTTTAAGGGCGAAAGAATCCTTCGGAGGGGAAGTAAAGCTAGCTGTCTCACGAAAACACCCTTCATCTGACCAAAGAATGAAATTGTAGGTTTTCTTTGCATTTGCGCAGGATATGCTAGATTGAAAAGGATATTATAAGTCTCTCCTGTACAAATGCTGCACCCGCTGGAAATGGAAAACTCTAGTAATCTCTCCGCACAAATTGTATACTAGACAACAGATTGTGATGCTGTGGACCTTGCATGCTATTTACCTTGTGCGAGCCTCATAAAGCTAAGTGAAGCCGCTTGCTCGCTTGCCATCATGTTGCATGAGCAGATAGTCCAAAGCTGAATGTTCATTATTTACAAAACTAAAAGACAAGAATCAAATTGTGGCAACTTCAGTCTCTACATTATATACGGGATAAGGTCCCAGCGCATCAGCAACAAGGGCTGAATCACCCCTGTATGTTGGCCTCGTAGACTGACCAGGTCAAAACTTCTACATTCCATCAGAAAAGGTTCATGGAACAAAATCTGTTGAAATCAATGGTCAGATTCATTATTTTTGCTATTCAGCATGAAATATCTGACATGCTGTAGATTCCGATATTCATAGACTTATGAATTTTGTGACAATTAAGCAATTGGACATACTCATTTTAACCTTTTTTGTTGATTGGAATGGATGTGATTATTATCCATTCATGAAGAATTTCGATATTTCTTCCTACATCATTCTGGGTATTTTGGTATATATTTATATTTATTTACCATTTCAGTTTTCTGAATTTTGCCAGAAAATCAGTTGAGGTAATTTTCAGGATTATTTAATTTTGTCAGAGTTTCAGCAATTGGCCTCCCCACCAATATTTTAACTAGGTTCTTACTTACCATAAATTGCCTGACTGTAATGATTTATTTCATACTGTTTTGGTAGTTTGTCTTCATAAGGCTGACTTATTATTCACATTTAGAGTGCTTAATCCCAAGAAATATTCAAAAGCTTAACTATTTTGACATCCTTGCCTAAAAGTTCTAAACTAGTAAAATGTTTAAAATGTCTATATAATGTCTTTTTCCATAAAGTGGAGAATCACCAAAAATGTTGGCTGATAATATTCAATAATCCAATTGCAGAAAAAGAATAAATTCTTTACTTTTATAAATCACTAAGGAACATAATGAAATGTTTGGAATACGCTTTTATAACATTATTTATTCATATAGTTACCATATTCATTCTGATATGTAGATGTTGCATAATGACTAATGGTTTGTACAGCCTCTGCACTACCTTGAGCTTGCAGTGGGAACCTGAGGTGATTGCTGTGGCACTCATGTATTTGTCTGGGAAGCTGAGCAAATTTGAAGTGGTGGACTGGTCTGGTCGAACCCCAGAGCACCTGCGTTGGTGGGACATGTTTTTAGAAGATGTGTCCATGGACCTCCTGGAAGGTGAGTGCGAGTTCGTGACAGTTCAAGGCAGGGCATTTAATTCTTGATATTTATTAAAGAAATTATGTGTATTCTGCAGTTTTTAATTATATAATTCTTTTTCATGGATTGTTTTCCCCCTCCCCCCTCCCTCAAATTTGTTTCAAAGGATGTTCATTTCTACCTTGCAGTCTGTTCAGTAATCAGTGTGTTCAAGCTATTATGTTTGAAATTCTATTACAAATGAAATAAAACCTTTTAAAAGTGATGTTTGATAAGTATTTGATGCCAAACCAGGCTGTAGAATTAGTTCAGAATGTATTGTTAGTGCCTGCAGAACATAATGTACTTTTCCAGACATTTGTCATCAAGTGCTTGACCTCTACTCACAACCACAGTCGGCAAATGTTCCCGACTCCCCTCCATTGCAGCCACGATCACCTGGGGCTAAGAAGCCTCACTTAGAGACGCCAGTGTCACCAGGCGTGCTTCATCACTCACCAGTGCCATCTGGTACGCTTGCTTGGCGCTAATTGCACAAAGGTTCTGTTCCTTGCTCTTTCCCATCCTTTCAGATGTCAGGCATTTGCTATTTATATTTTAAAGATGTCTTACTTTCTTACCACTCATAATGTCTTTTGTCAGTGTTATTCCAATTTTTGCTTAACTTTATTGGTCCATGTACTTTATAAGAACACACGTTACTTGCTTTGTAAGTAATGTGATCTATACAGTATAACCATGGTATTGCATTGAATAAATGAGATGCCAATGCAGTTCTCCTGTGTTAGTCAGCTCCCATTTTTTTCCCGAGCCCACGTTGAGCAGGCAACTTGGTGCTATCTGTGCAGCGATTCCTGTGAAAGTGAGCAAGACTGAGCCCAAGCCAGTGCTTCCAACTGCAGTCAGCAGTGAGGGTCTTGCTGGAGACAAACTCAAGAACGAAGACGCTGCATTCCAGTACGGTGCCTCTTATGGTCACAGCGGTCCACCTCTGCCAGGCACCTTCCCCTATGCTACAACAGTACCAGGGGCCAGTGTACCTCCAGCAAATGTGCCTACGGCAACTGCTCCACCAATTGCATCAGCTGTGCAATCAGCTTCTTATCCTTCATACCCACTTCCGTTTCCACCGACTGGTCATCCTCCCAACCACCCTCCAGGGCATTTCTATGCTGGTGGATCAAGTGCACGGCCATACTACCCCCCTTCAGCATCCAGTTAGCACACTTTTCACACAGACAGAGTTTTTTCACAAATCAACATTTATTTTGCTAAGTAATTAAAGGCACTTGTTAGAGACAATACTGCTATTGTATTATAAAACAGAGCGACAGTTATTGTATAGAGTTCTTTGTACATCATTTATAAGTAAAATATACTATTCTAATTGGGCAGTTCTGTTTCAATCAGCTTCATTTTGTACTTTTTTTTCCCAGACTTCCTACAGCTAAATATTGTTTCCTAGGGGAGCAGTCTTCCATATACACGATATAGCTTAGAAGAACAGGGCAGAGGGGCTAGAATAGTGCAGATTGTTCTCAGAATGCAACTTAGTCTGCAGTCTTAGAATGCATATGTAGGTTTCTGTTTTTGTACAGAAAATCTGTTGGAATTTAATTGAGTTTGCAATGGCAAATTTTAGACATCAAAGTTAAAATAACGATAATTATTTCATTAGAGATGTGAACACAAAATCTAAATGTCACCTAATTGGATCAGAGCTAAGATGTCATTAAATTGTATCATTCCAATTTTTTTTAATTTCATGGACATGAACATTTCTCTAAAATAATTTGGAATTCTTGTATTGAAATGGTTATTTGAAATGAAAACTGGTCACAAAAGAACAATCTGTGTTAAATTATTTGTTAAAAGAAAGTGAGCCCAAATTTAGGCCAACCTCTGTTTTGTTCTAATAGGCTTCAATGCACAGAAAAAGAAACTACAATCCATGCACTAAACCCTACAATCCATAATTCCTTTCTTCAAAGTGTAAGGATGCAGCTGGAAATGTTATTCTGCAGTTTCTAGAAGAAGAAAAAAGTCTTGGAAATAATACAGACACAAATACCAGAAAAATACATTTACGCTTAACTGTCAAGTGAAAAGACTTAAACTTCTGAAAATAATACAGCCACAAATTAACTTACACTTTGCTGGAAGGTCACATAGTGCCCTTACTAGATTCTCCCCTGTTAAACAATTTATTGCAACTTTGAGGAGATTAAGTGATACATTTATTGTACAAGTTCCTCAAAATTGAGTGAAAAATGATATACAGTGAAAAGCTGCATTCATTTGGGATATTTTTCTTTGTTTCATTGGTATTATTTCATTTTCAAATGATACAGATAAATAAATTGACATTAAAATTACAAATTCAAAATAAAATTACTGTACACATCAACAGCCAACAGAATACTATTTCTTGTAATATAAAACTTTTTACAAAATAAAAAAAAAAGTCTAGCACCACGATTCATTGAACATTTCTAACCTATTAACACAGCATTCTTTAAAAATTACTACAAATTTGCGGGAAAAAATGAAATGTAATTCTTCAGAGTGAGAAGCTAGTCAGATGTATGATATAAACTTGCATTATTGGTCCTTGCCATAATCAATTCACATCTTCCAACGCACATTATAAAACAAATCGAGTACATATCTGAAAGTTTTGTAAAGATATATAACAGCCACCAACCAACTTGTATTAATTTTTTTCATATATTTGCAGAAAAAATATGAGAAAACATCACTTTGCCATTATATTATGATAAAATTTTGAAATAGATCGGTTTTAAAGGAAGCACAAGAAACAAGTCATACAAATTTCTTTCAGTAATCATCAGCATGTTGATGTAACAAAGTTTTTCTATCAGTATGATTGCTCTGCAGATTATCCTTTAATAATGGGCAACAAGTTTGCCTTAACATTACTAAAGGAGAAAAATCATTACATATAGAGTATAGTAAACTTAGAGTCACACCTTCCCATGTTATTTGCAATATGAAATTGTAAAACAGGGTAAATGAATGCCATGTGCTCATTTTCCCTGTTAAGTTGTTGACATTGGCATTATCAAATTAAATGCAAGTTTTTCTTTCTTGTATAATTTACTTAAATAACGGAAGTAGTTAAGAAATACAGTAAGGACATTGTGCTAGAGTTTAATCTTTCATTAACTATTAAACATTGATATTAATTTTACTTTTTTATAAAATATAGTCCTTTTATACAAAAAGCATTGCAATTAATTCACAGTACATGGAAGGCAAGATTCAAAATGGACGGAAAATTTCAGCACTACTATGCTGTTACAATGTGTGGTCAATATCTGCATTAACATAGAGGATTAACACTAGTATTTCAGTTCTATTTGGCAATGGTATTCAGCAAATACATGCCAACACAAGTTACTCATGAAATTGATTTCCCGAAATATTCAGATAGAAAAACATGGCTAAAATTCGTTCACTCGGAGAGAGGGAAAGAGGGAAAGAGAAAATTAAAAATTGGTAATTACAATAAACAATGGTAAAAATACATATTGGACTAGAATTAGTGTTAATGAAATAATTGATGACACCATTAAGAAAAAATTTGAACTGAAAGTGGTAATTTTCATTTACCTGTTATGCAACACACCACAAAGTAATTCACTGTATATATTCTTATTGCTTTCTCTCACGGCTTTAAAATAGCGTAAAAAATTGCTGGTGCATGCTAATACACCTGTTAATCGAAATTGGGTGCACAAACATTAAGGAATTACCTATGGTACTGTAGGAGGAAGCAAATACAACTGAGAAAAGCCCATTAGGCTTTATGACGAATGTTCAAAATTGTTATTTACTTCCTTACATTCATTTTCTTTTTAGAAGAGACCAGTATAACATCTTTTCGTTATGTTAAAACATTCCTATTACTTTCTTTCCTTCTCTGTTTGGATTAAACAAAATTACCTGAGCAAACAGTAAATGCTATTTCAGCCCAATGGGCAGCAATACTAATGGCACAAAACATACAAAATGGCAAAGTTCAGTGAAAACTGAACCTATATTGCATCCAAATTCACTTATGCTTTGGTAAAAGTAACACACATTATAATTCCAGATACAAAAATTATAAAAATGACAAGACCACATAACAGATTTTCAAAAAGTCACCATTTTACAGAAAGCATTTTCTAGTCAAAACTAACTTGAAATTTTTAAAAATTATAACAATTTTCTAATACACGTAGCACATACCTTTTTTCTAATTGAATATTGATTGCAAGCGAAGTGAACGATTCCAAACAAGATATAAAAAGCACAATTCTGTACGACAGGTAATGTAAATTGCTTCTAGGGGATTTGTATATTTTAGGTCTTGATTTCCATACATCCTTTTCACAAGCAAGTTCAGGAGTTTTAGCGAATATGCAGAGCAGCTTTGTTGTTTCACAAACTAACCTGTGTATGCGTAAGCTTGCTAATTCTCCAAAACCATTTGTCAAAAGAAAGCTTGTAAATCAGGTCTTATAATGTACTTTTCTAAAATACACTAGTGAAACGATTGTTCCAGGGCAGGTATAAAAAAGAAAAGAATAATGTCAATCAATCAAATTTTTACAAAAGAGACTATAATATGAATTAATTTTACAATTCAAAAGATAAATGTTCGTGTATATGTACTTGGAATCTATCTCTTAACTTGGAATATTCAATTTGAAAAATTATGAAAATTGTGCAATTCTCATTTTTGCTACATTTTGAGCCAACAAGCAAATCACTACCACGCATTATCTAGTGGAACAACCATTAATGTTGCAGAATGAATCCATCATTTTTCAAAGTAATTTGCCAAGAGACAATGTGGATTTACTGGATTTCCATTACATTTTCATAACTAAATAGTCGTCTAAAATGACAGTAAAACTTACTGTTATTATCACAAATCTTTTGATTGCCACTTTCTGACATTATGTATACATCTGTATATTTTTAAGCACATCTCTTCACTTAAGATTTTATTATTTTCTGCAGAAAAATAACAAAGAAAAATAGCAGTTTTGCAACTTCAACTGACTACTCATACTGATATTTCATGCAACAATATTATTCATTGAGCAACTTCCTGGAAACTCACAATTCTCATGAAACAATCTTTTATAAAGCTAAATAACTTAAGCAGGAGAATGCTATTTTAAGATTTCTTGGGACATCAAACATATTCATGAAGATAAAAAGTCATCTGCATCATTCATTCACACATTTTTTGCTTTCAATTCATAGTTTTCCACTAGAAATGCCTATTCCTATCACACTCCAGAGAAACATTTATGCATCACAAGCTTACACCTTGTTTCACTTTCGTAAGCAGCTCATATAAGCCTTGAATGCTTCAGGTAGTAGATGAGAAGAGTGTGAACAAAACGGTATTGTGCCACTGTCTGAACCATGAGCATACGTTGATGACGAAGCAATGTTGTGACTCTTGGTATGTCAAGCTCTTGGTTATGGTCAAGGGTAAAGAGCAGCAGGTCACTCAGGATAGCCACTCCTGTGCGACCAACACCAGCACTACAGTGTACAAGAACTGGAGGATTGCGGTTATGGCCAGGTGGTATTTCACTGACGGTATGCTGCCTCACAGAACTGAGTTCTTCTAAAAAACCTGAGGAAAAAATAAATATGACATGATTCTTACATGAACTATTCAGCAGATTGACCTCTTTTGTTCAGTGAGTTACAGGATGACCACTTTCTAATAAACACAGGGAATTTCAATTTTAGAAAAAAAAAAAAACAGGGAAAAAGCTCAAAAAATTGTTTGTCGATGTAGAAATCGGGCTAACGATTGTTTCTAATTAACAGAATTAATTATTTATGATAAAATTATTTGTCTTTTAATAATAAAATTATTTTAAATTAACTACTTTAAGTTAATTACATAATTTTAAGTCATAAACTAACAAATTACATGTTACTCAAAAAACATAATCTAATGTATTTGAAAATTTGCACTTCACACTGCAAGCTCTCTTAACATTACGTGTGTGAGAGGACAAGACACAGACAATTATGAGACACTGTGTTCATAAAATTTGTGCATGTGTACATTAGAGCTACAACAACTGGCTCAAATGCTCACGTAGAGGGGATAGGCTCTTTGATTTTAGAGGCTTAGGTGTTTTGTAATGAGCACATGTGTAGATGAAATACATTTAGCTAAAATGAGTAATAGCACAAAATACTGTAGTTGATCGTTTAGATAACCTGAAATAGAATATTTAACAGTTAACACTTCTGTATTCAGTGTTTTGCACACGTCATGGAAGGATTATCAAGATTTAACCCAGAATGGCTACAACCATGAATGTATCCATATTTCCACCCTAGGTTACAAACAAGTATTACCTATCTTTGGTTCTACAAGATTTAATTAAACCACTTGTCACCCAGTGTTTCCAAGTGTTAGCATTAAGTCTACAGGGAAATTTTTTATAATCCTATTACTTGTGACATACTTTGGTGAAGCTATTTAATATTTTGGAACTCGCAGATGATTATAACATTGCCTCTAACCCTACTGATTTGTTTGTTGACTGTTTCTTTGTTGCGAATATTATGGATTATTTGAATGCCTCATGATAAATGTATATATCTGTACAGTTAGTTCTTTAATAGGGGAAATCTGGTGGACTTGTAAATGGAATCAAATAGATAAATAAAATAAGTTGAAATAAAAATAATATTGTACAAATACATATCTTGTTTTTTTTTAAAATTATTTTGAAAAACCACCCTTCGTTTTGATTTTTGCCCTCACTTGTGGCATATTATCACTACAGTTTAAAGCAAAGCAATTATCTTCTTCAATTAATCATCATAGTTTCAATGATTTTTTTTATATATATTTTTTTTCATTAAAGTAATCTTGTTGGTGACATGGTACCCCGTCTTGCTCAAAGAAGAAGTTTTCGATGGGGAACCATTCTTTTACCTGAGGTATAAGCCTCTCCCTTAGAATTGTACAGTTATGTATTGGCCTTGACAGTTTATCCCTTTTACCATTCCCCAGAACTTCCCCAGACCTCTACCATAGATTATTGACCAAATTATGACTTTTGTAGGATGCTTTACTCTTTGAATAGCACACTCTGGTTTTTGTTTTATATACTGTTTTTTGTTTGATACAATATCAAACGTACCCTTGTCACTGAAGAAAATCTGAACAAGAAAGAACAGGTTACAACACACACAATTATTTTATATATTTATTTAATAATATAATTAAATGTAAATCCAACCTTTCTACAGTCTTTCATGGTACAGTTTCTATATTTCTTTGCCAATTCTATACTTTTCTTTTTCATATTATGAGTCAAAACGGCTTTTTAACAGGTCGGTGGCTGTTCAAATTGAGCTTTTATAAAAAAAAGGAGCGAACTATGCTGGAAAAAAGAAGCGAACTATGAAATTTGGCAAGTGGTAACAATAATATGGCCAGGGACTGTTTGTTTATGTATCATGAAGATGTGATGGGCAGTCACACCCAAGTCAGCTATCACAGATAGAACATTTGTTTGTTCTAATAAGTTGTCAAAGATATGATCTATACAAGTAGTTGAAGTTTGTTACTCTTGTTCCTAAGTTTATGAATGATCTGTAATCAATTTCAAGGTAATTACTTCTATAATCATTGGAAAGATCATTTAATGTCCAGATATTGATTTTACATTATTATTATTGATATCATGTTAATATAATTATTATTTTGTGAAATGTTAACAATTAACCCATTTTAGAGCCTAATGGGCCTTACAATAATTAAAAAAACCTCGATCAATTCTGAGCTAGATACATCATGTATACAGGGATTATATCGATTTCTTGATTTAAATGTTTCAGTGTCCTGTAGATAAGAACATTTTAGGGTGCCTTTGAAGAATCAGTGACACTAAATTATGTATAATAATAAAAAAATTAAAATAAAAAAAAAAATGGTGGAAACTTTTATTAAGCTGTTTTTTTATAGAGTGATTGTCCACATTGATGAGGCAAAACAGCAATTCTCTAGCTTTTATAGTTGCCCATCAATTACATTTAAATATTGCCATTATTTTATTCGTCACACTAGATAGATCCCTTGACAATCATAAATAAGTTTAGTATGAAATTTTGTCAATAAGCTGATTAGTGATTATATTTTCCTCAAGTCTTACAGTTGAAATATCAACTCAGTAGTACAACAGCATTTATGTCTTTTATGTGAATGGCAGCTGGCTTGAAAACATATCGACCTGCAAGAGACCAATACAAATTCTATCTTAACTGAAAGTCTACTTTACTAGTAAAAGTGTCAAATTGCCAGGTACTTTCTCCATAAAGAACACTGCAGAAATTCTTAAAGACTCACTTTTGCTCCCTAAGCTTAATTTCTTTTTGATGATTGCTTCTGCTTTTGAACCTTTCTTGAAAGAATTTCAGACACCAAAACTGATGTTTCCATTCCTACATTCAGTTGTAGAAAATATAATTTGAAATCTAATGGAAAGGTTCATCAAATCCAAACTTTTGGAAGACACCAACACAACGAACAAGATGATAAAGATCAATGTAAAAGATGTTGAGAATAGTGTAAAACTTTGACAGATTAAGATTGGTGCAGCTACCAAGCATTACCTTGAAGCAGCTAGTGTCAAGGAGGTGGAAATGGACAGACTGGAAGCAAAAAACTGTCTTGTGCTGGTTCAAAAATTGCTAGAGAAAGGCCCTTTGAAGGACAAATTTGTGAAAGCCTTCACTTATCTCGATTCCAAAATGATATTGGCCAAGCCATAACATTGCAAGACTGACTTAGGGACATGCATTGGAACGCTACTAGGGAATCACCATGATACTGCACTTCAGTCATATTGTGTAATTCTTTAGTTTGGTTGCTTTGCATCAAGGAAACCGAACTCGAACAATTCAATCAGAATGAATCTCAACTGGACCATTTTAACATCAAGCAATTAAAAGGTGTGTCAGAATATAAAGATATTTGGGCATGCTGTGAAAATCATCCTTATATTTTTTCATCGTAATGCCTTCGTAGGAGGAGGATTTTCCATAAACAAGGAAATGCTGGTGGAAAACTTGCAGGAGGAAACTCTAGTATCATTGAAAAGAGTGTGGGATGGTATTAGAGATGCAGGTGGAGAAAATGCCATCATAGTTGATCGACACATGCTTTGCTGTGCTTGTAAATAAATGCTGTTCTCTGCATTTATTTGAAATTATAATTATGATAAAATAAATAATTATATAAGTAATACAATGGCACATGTAACATAGAAAAATGATAATAACTCAGGAAAAACTTTGGGAAAATAAATTTGGGTAACTGGCAATTCACCCTGAGTTAAGTTGTGGAATTCTTATTGGAAAATTGGGGATGCATTGCTTTTGAATTGAACTAAGACCGTACATTAGGATAACAATTTAACGGACAGGACGTTAAAAAAGATAAACAACTTCAGTTACAATACTTTACATAATGGCATTTAGTGACCAGATTAATAAGAAGTTCGAAGACACGTCATATGCCAAATTGAACACACAAAAAAGTAAATAAAAGGATGAAAATGTAATAGATAAATAGAATAAAATAATTTTAATTTTCTGTCCACTGGAACCATTCTAAATTAATTATTACTGTTAATTAGAGTTAATACAAAAACTAACGACTCACCAAGGAAGTGTCCCACACTCACAGGGCAGCCTTGTTCCCCCCATTCTGTGTATTGCAGATGCCAAACTCCCCGCATGCGCCGTGAATTCACATGATACATTCGCAACTTTGTAGTGATGCAATGACCTGTCTCTTGAGAGAACTGGCGCCATACCTGGAACTGCACAAAAATTTATCATAAGCATCTGAAAATTAAAAAATAAATTGATGTCAATTTCTAAAAAAAAACAACAAAAAACAAAAAGGATCCCATTTTCCGCTTACAAGGCAGATAAGTGTTAAGAGTGAGTTTCACCTAGAATTAGCACGGAATATTTTCATGGTTGTCATTTGATCTTTTTACCAGAGAGAGCAAACTGCTTCACTAGAAAGTGAACTTGAAGCATGCAAAGCCCAATAATAGCCTTGTTCTACAATACAAAATTAATATTATCTCATCATAAGAAATACAAGTGACTGATTTCCACATGAATGAAGTTCAGTAGATTGATCTCTGTTCAGTTTGGTTTTCTTTTAATTTATATAGTTTCAATGCATAACCAATTTTAAATTCTATTTTAAAATTCCTTACAGTTGCTTGTGTTACTTTAAAGGAAAGTAATAAAATGCATCCTCAGGTGAAAAATTCAAATAACACCAAACTTACCAGGCATTGTTAAAAACAGTCTATTGAAATCAAATGAATTTTTTAAAGACTTGACACTTTTCTTCTCAAAATCATGTACTCTACAACAAATACATTTTTGTGATGAGACCTGTTGTTTTCTACATGCCATCAATATGCTCTAGCCACGACATATTACAAAACATAAGGCATAAATTTATAAATTAGCATGGGAATTTGGGTCATCTTGCTAAAAATCTCTCACAATTATTTGTAGATAGCTGACTTATTAAACACACATATCCTTGAGTTTGTAGACGTAACATTTGTAATTTTAAACATTATATGGTATACGCGAAACCAAGAAAAATTCCCGTTTTTTCCTTCCTTGACAAATTAATGGGAATCCTTAATCTCGCTGTATTTGAGCTCAGTGGCACGTATAGAAAATGTCTTTGACTGTTCTCCAGAAGCGTGTTACAGCTCATATCTTTTTCTTACTCTGCTTGACAAGCATTGTTCCAGTGACTTCCACGTATTGGAGTGTGGCCTATGAGGAAAAAATAACTGCACACTGTCTGTGCCCTGTTTGTGCTCTTGACATTCACATGGCATTGATAGGAGAATCTACAGAAAACTACCAACAGCTACTAAAATTCTCCTTGAGACAGTGACTTAATGCAATAGTCGTGTAGCGGGCGTCAAAAATTCCCCATCAGCACACATACTCTTAGACGTGTCTCTGCTGCCGCAGAGACGAGTGTTGTAAATTGATGTAAAACATGACAATTGTGATATATTCCAAGACCAAGTCAAATGAAACTAATTTTGAATACAGAAAAATTGTTGGTGACTTTCGCTGAATCATTTCCCATGAGCATGTTGCAACTTGATTGCTGTGATCCACGTGATATCTGTCAGATGTCTGTCAGATACCTGTCAGATGTGCGTTGCATGCACTGGAACTAGTACATTCTAAGCTCCTGGCCGAAGTGGTACGTATTGTGGCATTATTTTCAGCCGTGTCTATGACAAGTGCCCATTCAGAAAATGTAATCATATGTCTTATCCAGGATTGGCTGACACAATTTCTTCCCAAAGAGAAAGATGTGTAGAAGACATCTGAACGGAAATGAAAAAATGTGAAGCTTACAAAGTAGAAAAAAGATGAAAACTTTCTATATATATTTGTGAAAAATGTAAAATATAATTAGAACATGCCAAAATCATTTGTGAATTTTTAAAAAAATATTATTTAATAAGATATTAATGATTTTGGTGGGTACTTTGTCAATTTTTACCCTTTTCACCATAAGTATTCAAAAGTAGAATTCATTAAAAATTGCATTGGGGGACATGTACAAATGAAATAAAATATGTATTTCTGTAAATAGAGCTTCAGATCATTTGCATTCACAAAAAATTGCAGCTATATTTGAGAGATACTCCACCTAGGGAGTACATGACCTTGTTGTTGGTGGTGAAGCTTGCATACCCCAATGAACCTGAGAGCTAGTACGGCGGTAGCGTAGCTACTGGCAGGGCCACCCTTGCCAGACAGGTCGAAGGAGAGGGGGCAGACGAAGAAGTACTCCAGAAGAGGACCTCAACATCAAGAAAAAATCCTGGGCAGACGCAGCTCAAGAGCCGTAGAGAAGGCAATGCATCTAGGGAGAGCAACTCGAAGAATCTGCCCTGCAAGTTTGGAGGCAGTAAGGTGGCAGCCCCACCACCAAACTATCCCTGAGTGGGGATAGTTGACATACGATGACGTGATACATGACGATACTGGGAATATACGCACCAGAAGAGGGAAGGAAAGAAGAAAGCACATTATTCTATGATACCTTACAAAAACACATGAATTCCATAAATAAGAACGATTATATAGTTATCGCAGGAGATTTCAACGCAAGAATTGGAAACAAACCAATCGAAACAATAGTTCCAATAGGAACCAATGGAGAAGATACAAAAAATTAGAACGGAAAGACCTTAATAAATTTTGCAACATTTAACGAAGTAAAAATTACAAACAGCTTCTTCAATCACAGAAATCCACAAATACACATGGGCGGCGAGAGGAACAAAATCCATAATTGATTATGTATTAGTTAACTCTAAGTTGACATCCCTACTTACTGATACACGAGCATATAGAGGTTTTGATGTATTCTCAGACTTTATACAGTAGGCACTAAAATAAATATCCCAGCAAGATGGATAAGAAAGAGAACAGACAAAAACAAAACTGACAAAATATATTTCAAAACACACTTGCTACAACAAGACAGTATAAGGAAATTATACTGCACAACTACTTAGACAAAAGAGCAGTAAGTTTAAATGTAAATGAAGAATGGGAAGACTTAAAGCAATTGATGATAAAAGTAGCAACAGAATTTTGGGACAAAGAAGTAGAAGATATAAAAAGAAAGGAATACGAATATGGAATAATGAGATAAAAACCATCATTGAAGATGAAAAAAAGGGCTTATCTAAAGTACTTGCAAACACAATCCATACAAGATAGAATAACATACAACCATAAATGTGCATTAGTTAAAAGAGAAGTTCAAAAATTAAATAGAGAAAGTTGAGATACATAAGTGAAATTGAAAATGATATACATGGAGCTCAAAATAAAGCGTACAAAATTCTAAAACACCTAAAAACAGACGAAAAGACACTGTACAAATAAATAATATACCCGAAAAGCAATGGCTGATATACTATAAGGAATTGTGGACTTCAAACACACAAAAAGAAAAACTCGCAGAACAAGAATTTGCAAATGTAGACCCATTAGAAATGAACTAACTCAAAGAGATACATAATAATTTAAAGAACAAAAAATCTCCAGGTAGCGATGGACTGAATATAGAATTATTCAAGTATGCACCTTCACAAATTAAACTAAGGTTTCTGTTTATACTAAATATATGTTGGAATACATATCAAATCCCAGAAGAATGGAAGAAAGCCATTATACACCCAATATTTAAGAAAGGAAATAGACAAGACTGTAACAATTACAGAGGAATTAGCCTATTAAACTCTGCCTACAAGATCTATGCAAAGATAATTACTAGGAGATTAAATAAAGTAAGTAATAACCTACTTTCGGAATTTCAAAATGGATTCCAAAAGGGATGTTCAAGCGCAGATAGCATACTTATTGTACAACATTTGATCCAGAAAAGACGTGAATATAACCTTCCTACTTATATCCTGTTCATAGATTTTGAAAAGGCCTTTGACAAAGTCTCTCGGAATAAGTTATGGAGTATTATGCGTAATAGTGGATACCCTAACCATATCATAGAAACCATCAAAAGCTTATATTTTAAAACCACTATCAGTATTGACAAAGGAACAGCGAACAGCTCACTGAATATACAAATCAAGGAGTCAAACGAGGGTGCCCGATGTCCCCGACCCTTTTTAAAATATATAAAAATATTTTTAAAATATTCAAGAATGGCAAAGTAAACTAACCACACATTTTACAACCCAATAAGTACCACACAATAAGTAATACCATTTTAAACACTACTCTTTGCAGATGACCAGGCCATTTTTAGTACTTCAGAAGACGACCTACAGAGAGCTGCCCATTACCTCGAGTTAACAGGGAAAAATTATAACTTGAAGATATCAACCTCTAAAACGAAAACAATGGCATTCCAGGGGGAAAACCATATCAGATGTAAAATAGTGATAAATGGAAAAAGTATTGAACAAGTAAACAACTTTAATTATTTAGGATTTAACATCTCATACTGCGACAAAAAAGATATAAACATAAAGATCCAAAAATTCCAGAAATTGTGCAGTACTATATGCAGAGCACTAAGACAAAAGACCAGACAAGACACCCAACTAAAATTTTTCAAAACTATGGCAGTCCCAATGCTAACTTATGGATGTGAAAATTGGACAGTCAATAGGTCAGACAGAAGAAAGATCGAAGCGGCAGAAATGAGATTCCTGAGACCATTAGCAGGATATACACTATTAGATCATAAGAGAAATGAAGACATCAGAGGTGAACTACAGCTCTCCAGCATGTTGGAGAAGATTGACTCAACGAGGAAGAATTGGCTCGAATACCTAACCAGAATGTCACAAGAACGGCTACCCAAGACTATCCACGAATACAAACCAAAGGGGAAACGGCCCAGAGGCAGACCCCACACAAGATGATAAGAGACTCTTGAGAGTGGAACGAGCCACTAGGCCCAAACCTTGTTGCTGATGATAATGATGATGATGATTTGAAAGATACATTGCAGGCATTGGTGTGAGTCTACCTATTACAGGCACTCTCAGGTTAAAAGAAAAGTTGCCAAAAACAATTTAACTACGGATAAACCCATTGGAGTGGAAATTTTAAAATTAAAATTTTGCATTCTTAAATTCACTGGATTAAGTTGAAAGTGATCTATGATGACAAAGATAAGTCTATAGCAAAGATAGTCTATTCTCTTAATGTTATATTAAGTGAATATTACTGGATGCCGCATTTGCATTATATATTGAATCAGTGT